ATGACGTGTGTAATGAATTGGCGCTATAGAAATAAACTGAATTGAAAACTGAATTACTGACTGAGATGAGACTCAACAGAAGACTTGATTTTTCTTTGTTTTTTTACATGAAAGTAAATTCTTGTTAGACACAAACTTACTGTCAAGCTCGTACTGACTGATAGTCGGATCGCTGAGGTTCCGGATGGTGTAGGGGGCTGAGGAAAGAAAGAGAAACATTTAAAATAAACAGGTTTATGAAGACATGCATTCATTACAATTCCAAGCGCTTTCACCGCTGAGGAAACCAGTGCTGTTTTCATGAAACCCAACCTAAACAATCCTTGAGATCATGGCTGTAAATTAGCCCCAGAATGACTCAACAAGCGTCAAATTACAGGCTACGTTGCACAGAGCGGTGGAAACAGAGTGGCTCCTGAGTAAACCTAATAACAGCCTGCAGCTTATGAGCGCTGATCACAAGATGAAATGTTTTGCTGTGAAGTGTCAAGACCATTGGGGATACGACGGCAACAGAATGGGCCTGTGTGACAGTTTCCCTCTAATGGAAATAATGGTGCTGCTGACATAGAAATAATCAGCCAAGACAGAGTCTCATAATTGAAGTGTGGAGACTTCACCTTTTTAAAACTCATTTCAGTTTCTCTCTATTCTTGGTTGATTTGTTTTTCATCATGTTTGTTGCAGAGGGTCTCTTCTATTCAATCCTTAGAGTATGAAACATGTATTTTATTTTAAGGATAGTAACGTATGAAAATTGAACCTAAGATATCCTCATCATATCATCAATGAACCCATGAGGCTTAGCATGTAAAACTAACCCCAATGCTTCTTAAATAATAAAGCAAATGTTTTTTGGCACGTTGTTCCTTTGAAAAAAAAGAGCAGTAGAATCAAGTTTAAGATGGTGCTAAATTAAAAGGTACAGTAGCAGGCATTAAAAATGGCCCTTCCCAGTCAAATGCCAGCCGAAAGGCAGCCTACTCTCCTGCAACTTCCAGCCAAATCCCATCCAACTTCCAGCCACTGGCCTTCTCCTGGGTGTGCATTTTTTTTTTTTTTTTTACTCTTACTCCACGCTTTCACTGAATTACAGGGTCTGACCAGGAGATGATGCTTCTCTTTAGATCTTAATGTCCACAAATCATGACAGAAAGAATATTTTAGATGTTTAAAAAAGGAATTGTAGGGGAGCAGCCAAGGACCATCAAGCAAAGTGGGCCAATTTTGAATGGCTACTACCATATAAAGGAATCCTAGACAAGTAATTGTTGCTCCTCTCATGATGGGAAAGGGTATAACACCACTGCTTTTTCTACCACTGGTGCCCAGAAAAATTAATAAAACAAAATCCATCCAAGGTTGTACTGGTCCCAGTTAGCATGCTAAAAGTTAAGGTTGAAAAATAACTGTTTGACTGAAAGGACTGAGAAAGAGTTTCTCTTTAAGTTAGGTTTGCAAAGTTGAACATGGATGAACCAAAGAGAGTTTGGAACAATGTCCTTTTGCAATGCACTGGAAAAAATTTTAATCCAAACAACTTCTTTTTTCTTAAAGTAAGTGCATTTGTTCTTGAATTGAGGATGTAAAAGAGACATTTTGCCAATGGAACAAGACAGTTTACATTTAAAATAAGAAAACACAATTGCTTTTTCTTATTTCAAGTGAATATTATCTAATTATCTTATTTTAAGAGTAAACATGCTAATTCCATTGGCAAACTATCTCATTTACCTACTCAAATTAAGGCAAAAAAAAACTTAATTTAAGACATTTTTTTACTTATTTCTAGATCGTTTTTCCAGTGTGTGGTGGGGTTTTAAAAAAAGTGGCATGAAAACAAATGTCTGCAAACTGCAATCAGAAATATATGAAAAAAGAGTGGAGAAAAATGATTCAACCATACGAAGGCTTGCGACACAAACCAGTTACTGAGAGTTATTGTTGCTAAAAAGGGTTATAAATCTGCTGCTTCCCTGTTTTTCACAGTTTTTTTTAACTTACGTTGGCTTTATTTTCAATAAATCCAGACGGGATAAAATCTGATGTCAGTTTTTGCTTCCTGACATGTATGACCTCTGAGTTAAAAGCAGGGAGCCATTTCTTTAGCTGAACACATGTTTCTCCTCACCGTTCAGCTCGGCCCATGAGGAAAGGCTGTTCAGTGTGTGAATGTAGTTTCGGAGACGGTCATACAGCAGCTCACGGTAGCGAATCCGAAATCCCAGTAAAATTCCATTGATCTTCTCCTCAGGAGGTGGCTAAGGGAAGAAAAAACAGAAGTTACTGCATAAACAGCTGATTTTACAGGGAAATATACCTTAATCAACACATGATGTATGTCTCTAAGGGATTAGCTTTTTAGGATAGAGAAAGATGGGGAAAAACCTCTCCTCGAAGACGGAGCACTTATCCACATGTTAAGTAATGCAGTGAAATCCCCCTTGGCTGAACATGAGAGAACGAGCCCAGAGGGAAAGGAAGAGAGATAAACAAACATCATTCTATCCTCATAATCTCTACAAGGGTTCATAAAAGTAAAACTGTGTCTGCGTGCCTCCTGTTTCCCGCTGTATGAGCCGTTAATTCAGCCAAGGAGGAGGGGTGTTTTTATATCACACAGTAAAACAGTCTGGATTCTGTAAGAACAGGCTTTCAACTCTCATGCTCTTTTATTAGAGTTAACTTTCTCAGACTTAAATGGCCTCTGCAGCCAACGAGAGGAGAGAAAAAAAGAAAAAGAACCAAGCAGAATCTGTTCTGCTGTCTGCTCTCACCTGCCAGCGGATCAGCACCGACGTGGTTGTGTGCGGCGTAACAGAGAGGATTGTCGGCGCTTCGTCTGGCGCTGAGGCAATAAAAGCGAGATAGATTAGCTAAATTGACTTGAAAATGCGCACTATTCAGCCAGCTAAATCTGTCCACAAGCTGTGCCATTCAGGGAGAGTAAACACACACAGGGGAGACAACGCAGGAGAAGGATTGACCGCAGAGTTACAAATGGCAGTGAGAGACGATCAGGAGAGATACATTTCTTTAGCTGGTGGCTTTTGTTTAGCCCAGATTTAAAGACGGCTCCCCTGTCTCCAGGAACCACAGATGGTGCACACATTAATCAACCTCTGCTTTTGCCAGCAGGGTCCAAATCATGGCAAAAGGACTAATTCATGCAAACATTGAGCGACTAAAACGGAAATAGAACTAATTCTATCTTTTTCGACTCTTCTGTCTTCCTCTCTGGTTAATCTAAAAGGAAAC